AAGGTGCCAGGGTGGCCGGGAAGAGCCTTAGACGGAATCAGGGCACCTGGGATGGCGCCCCAGGTCTCCACGACCCGAGCAAGTCGTTCCCCATCTCTGGGCCTCACTCTCCCCATGCCCCTCAAGAGATGTGGGCGGGACAAAGATCCGAGACTCCAAGGCCCTCCCGACTGTGGCCTGGGCAACTGTCCGGCTTCACCTCTCAGAGCGCTGCCACCACGGGCCAGGGCCCCGACCCCGACTGTCACGGTGCCTGCAGGGCCACCCCTCGGCGGGCCGGGGCACTTACAGCCCGGAGAGACGCTAAGCCCACCAGTCTCCGCGGCAGCGCGCTCCTCATTGTCGCCATCTTGGCCCAGCATCCCCGCCGCCCCCAGCTGAGTCCCACGTGACTGCCGACAGCCGGGTGGGCGTGCCCCGCGTTTGGGGGCGGTGCTTCTGGAGTAACGTGAAGACGCCCTACGAGGGCTGTTTCCAGCTTCTAGGTTTTCATTCCTTTTGGGCAGTTTTTTTTTTCATCCATTATTTTTTTCTGAGTGCTTTCTACTTGCCATGGCAAACTGAGGCTACGACTATGAAAATGAACAAAAAATAATCAAGGGGTTTAGAGTTAGGGAGCTCTGGGAAGACATATTAATAATCACACAATTAGTTGCGTAATTACTACCTTTCGCAACAAAAGACGGAGCATTACTATTTGCCCTGCGCTGTTCTGAGTTCTTCGGCCGTGTTAACTCTTGCATCACGATCTCCAGGATTCAACTGCAGGCAGTCGACAGGAGGGAGAGAAAGAGCGCGCGCGCGCTCTAGTGAGCGAGAAACATCCTTTGATTTCAAACTTTTAAAATGGGTAAGATTTATCCAGGTAAAGAAGACACAAGAAGAACTTTCCAGTGAACATAACATATGCCAAGACCCTGAGGCAAAGCAATTGAGTGCTTAGAGCAGTTTTTTTCAACCATGTTGTACCCCATTAACTGGTTATAACATTAATGGGTGCCAACTTAAAAAAAAAAAAAGCATTGGAGTGTACTGCGTAATAAAGTATTGCTTTGCAAATCTTGTTTGTTGTTATATATGTCAACCAGATTGCAATGTAGGCTTACTGTAGGCTGCAATTAGAAATGTTTGGGGGAAAAATTGTTTTGGGAAGATGGAAAGAAGGCCAGAATTACTGCAGAGCTGTGAGGGAGTAGGGACAGACTTCCCACTAAGATGGGAGAGATTGACAGGGACCATACCACCGACTTTGGAGAACACATAGCAATTCATTTAATGGATTTTAAGCAAAGAGATGATCAGATTTGCATTTCGTGATTAGTCACTGTGGCTACTGGGTGGGTGGACATCCAAATGTTAAGTACACTGACTGACTTTCTTAGGGGAGCAAAGAGGGTACTGTCCCTGCCTCCAGGTGGCTCAGATTTTAGCTACGGAGAGAACAAGACCTGATAAGTGTTCTGTTTTGCTTCTGCAGCACCCAAAATTCCCTCTGTCGTAACAGACCTGTACTCACAGAATTCTCAAACCTGCAGCTAGATGACTGAACATGACCCAAAACTACTAGCATGACATTTATTTCAAAATATTTATGTGTGATGTTCATGACTATTATTTTTGACTTTCAAGAATTGCACAGTGAAAACTACAAACCCTTCCTGAAATTAAAGAAGAAAGGAATTAGGGGAAGCTGGGGGGCTCAGTCAGTTAAGTGTCTGCCTTTGGCTCAAGTCATGATCTTGGGGTCCTGGGATGGAGCCCTGCATTGGGCTCCCTGTCTAGCAGGGAGTCTGCTTCTCCCTCTCCCTGTGTTCCTCCCCCTTGCTGCTGGAGCGCACCCTCTCTCTCTGACAGGACCTTGGGATCATAACCCAAGCTGAAGGCAGATGCTTAACTGACTGAGCCACCCAGTCCTCCCTAAAGGAGATTTTTAAGTATCTCTGCACCCAGTGTGGGACTGGAACTTATGACCCTGAAATCAAGAGTCGCATGCTCTTCTGACTGAGCCAGCCAAGTGCCACTCTATTCCTAGTTTCTTGAGCATATGTATCACAAAAAGGTGTTGAATTTTGTCAAATGTGTTTCTGCTTCAGTTGAGACGATCATGGGTTTTTTCCCTTTGTTTTGTTAATGTGGTTTATTACAATGATTGGTTTCTGTATCTTGAACCATCCTTGCATCCCATGAATAAATCCCACTTGGTGATGGCGTGTAATACTTTGAATATGTTGCTGATTTTGGTTTGCTAGTATTTTGTGGAAGAGTTCTGCATCAATGATCATAAGGGATGTTGGTCTATAGTCTTCTGGTAGTGTCTTTGGATTTGGTGTCAGGCTAATGCTGGCCTCATAGAGTAAGTTAGGAAGTTTTCTATCCTCTTTACTTTTCTGGAAACGTTAGTTCTTTAAATGTTTGGTAGAATTCACCAAAGAAGCTATTGGTTCCCGGGCTTTTCTTTGTCAGGAGATCTTAAAATTATTGATTTGATCTCCTTACTTGTTATACGTCTATTCAGGTTTTCTATTTCTTTGCGATTTAGTCTTGGTAGGTTTTGTGTTTTTAGGAAATTTCTGACTTCATCTAGTTACCCAATTTGTTGGAGTACAACTGCTCTATAGTGCTCCCATAATCCTTTTTATTTCTGTAGAACTCATAGTAGTGTCCCATTTTCATTTTTATTTTAGTAATTTGGATCTTTTCTTTTTCCTCAGTCTATCTTAGCTATGGGTTTGTCATTTTGCTGATCTTTTCGAAAAACCAACTTTACCTTCTCTGTTGTTTTTCTCTATTTTGTTTATCTTTGCTCTAACGTGGTTTTTCTTCAATCTTCTTTCAATTCCTCAGATTCAGTAATTTACATTGTCCTATCTTCTGGTATAATATTCTTTCTTCTGCCTACTCAAATCTGCCTTTGAATCCCTCTGGTGAATTTCTCATTTCAATTGTACTTTTCAGCTCCAAAATTGTGTTTTGTGTGTGGTTTCTTCTTAGATTATCTAACTAGCCATTTCTTCATATATCTATTTCATTCATACATTGTTTTCTTGACTTCCCCACAGCTTCCTTTAGTTTTCTGAGTATCTTTAAGGCAGCTGCTTTAAGGTTTGTCTAGTTTATCTGCCACCAGGTCTTTTTTTCACTCTTTTCTTTCGAATGGGCCATGTTTTCCTGTTTCTCTTTGTGCCTTGTGATTTCTTTGCAGACATCTGGACATTGGACTCTAATAATGTGGTATCTCTGGAAGTCAGATACCCCCTCCCTCTACCCACTTCCCAGGACTTGCTGGGTTTTTTTTTTTTATTTTTGCATTTTGATTGTTGTCAGCGGTCTCTTGGCTACAGATGAGCCAGAGGTGTAAACTTAGGCTCTTTTCTGAGCCTTTCCGTGGGCATGTGTGGTCATTTTCTTATTTTCCTCATACATGCAGTTGTTTTTGAATGTCCTAATTTTTAATGTCTGGCTCCCAAAAAGGGGAATATTTGAATGGGGGGGGCATCAGCCCCTTAAATCCACTGGAAATCACTTCAGCCAGAGGCAGGCCTTGCAGCCGTGGGAGAGGTCCAACAACGGTTGCCCACCCCTTTGCCTGTACCTCTGTAATCAGAAGCAGCAATCAGAGATCAGAGCTCAAAACTCAAATCCCAGATATTTGGAGAACAGCGTCCTTTTTGCCCATGTTGACTCCCACAGGCTGTGTGCAAGTTGCTCCAGGAACATGTTTATCACTGCCAGCTACATGGCTGTGGCTGGGGGATAGGTAGGTGGATTGACCCAAACCACAATTTACCCATCTGAATCTTCCTCTGGAACTGGAGCCTTGGTAGACTCCGGACTTGTACAAGAGTTCCACCAGATTCTGCCAGTGTAATTATTGTCGAGGTCAGAAGACAGATTCCTGGTGCCTACTCACTGCCATCTTCCCAGAATCCTCCCTAAAGACTTCATCTCACAAAGCTCAGTACATTATGGTCTCAGTATTATCCTAAGTATTTCCTAATTCCTTGTATGGTGCCTTCATTGATCAGTGACTTATTCTGAAGTGTGTTTTAAAATTTCCAAATATATAGATTTTTTTTCCTTCAAGTTTTTATTTTTTTATGGTCCTTTAATTATGTTGCAGACACACCCGTCTATATGATAGTGCTCCTTTGGTATTTACATTTGTAAATATTCCATGTGCTCGAGAAAAACAAATATTCCTCAAATGTTGGGTAAAGATTTATAAATATATTTTAAATAAAAAAGAAAGAGAAAATCTGATTATATCTATAATAATCAAAGGGGCTGAACTGGTAGCCAACTCAAAAGGATGGTACTAGAAGTGAGAAGCAGAAAAACCAAAGGAATTATGTTCTTTGTTCGGCATTAAGGAGACTTGACGAGTCCTTTGGGCTTTGTTTTTTGTCTTCAACAGAAACAAAGCTCTTAAGGAACAGTCCTTAAGAAACTGGGAGAAGAAAACTACAACATGCTTTTTGGTAGAAACGATTTGACATAAAAATTTATTTATTGGATCACATTTTAAAAAGCAGGGCAGAATCACATTTATTTTCTTCAAAATACTACTGTAAACAGATTGATTTTCTGAGCCCCTACTTTGCTTTGGAAACTTCCCAAGGGCTGATCACTAGCAGCTCTAGCAAGCCTTTTCCTTCCCTTCCAGGCTCTCCTCCTCTGAGGGGTGCTGGGGACAACTGATGCTAAGTACACAGCACATGACTGAGCTTGCCAAATCCTTTCTACCTCCTTCCATAGGCAGTAGGGTGACTTGGCTCATTCCTTAATCTGAAGTCATTGATTAAGGAGACAGGTTTCAAACACAGAGAATGGAATGAAGTTTCTGGGGTAGATAATTTCCCAGGTTAGGAACAGAAGGATGAATTCAGAGCTTAACCGGTTAGTGCCTCCTGCTGATCAGGGAGAGGTATGCTAGCAATGGATCTCAGATTCTCCGATCCACTGAGACATCAGTATAATGCACTCAGTTCCTTTGATTAAAATGTGTTGGAAAAGCCATCTCTGAGTAGAGAAGTAGTTTATTACAATGCTGGTGCTATAAGAGGAAAACCAAAGCAGCAAAGAGGAGGCAGTTCTGCCTGAACTCCCAACGATCAATGCACTCCTGTCAGCTTTATAGTCCAGCCAAACTCAATTGGCAGAGTGAAGAGTGGCAGCTGCGGCAGGTAAATGAGCAGACCTTCTTCTGGATCTGTGGACCACTTCAGATCTTTCTGGATCCCTACCATCGTTATCTGCAGAAAGCAAAAGGGAACGGAGAAGTCAGCGCACTGAGTACGGAATATGGCTTGAACGTGATGGGAGGCAGTCACACTGGGGCAGGGCGGATAATCTAGAAGGGGGGGTGCAATACAGGGGAGACCTGGGGCAGGAAGGAAGAAGTAGAGAAGACCTCCAGTTCCTTTAGGAAAGGTGCCTCTCGGAACAGACTGGCTGAGGCTCCTCACCTGTGTAGTCGAGGTGGTTATAGGGGATGCAAGGTTTAAGACTCCGTTTTCTGGCCAGTGCAGGAAAATGGCATAAACCGCTGTTTCTCTTGAGGTATACCTGGGAAAAAAGAAACATCAATGTCAGAAATACCTGGCTTGAGACCCTGACACAAAGCCTCATGTAGACCCCTTTCCATTAGCTACTGACCCCAACGCCTTGAGTCTGTCAGTGCCCTAGGAAGTGCGCTAACTCACTACCTATGGAGCTCTGGGGGAAGAAGGCAGCCCGGTAAGACTCTTCCTGGGGACTGCTTAAGTTTTCTTTAAATATCGTTAACGCTTACACTAGTTATCGCACACTGAAGCCATTTGCCTTTTTATTCAAATCTTTTTTTCAACTCCAAATCCATGGGAAAACAGCAGAGGCTCCAATAAAATGTGCAGTGAAGAGGGATTTGTTCCAGGAGTTTGCCGCGCATAGACAAGAGGGTGAAAATCCCTAAACAGGAATTCAGCCCAAACGGAAAGATGAACGTGTTTCCCCGGATGCAAAAAGCCTCGTCCGCTGGTATCTCAGACGCAGAGGCCTTTCACTGAGCACTTTGCACACGCCTGGTGCTCTGCTTGGCGCTTCACGTAAACTACCACACTTCATAACCACCACAGGAAGCTAAGTATCATCACCCCATTTCAGACTGTAACACACAGGCCCAAGGTCAAATAACTAGATCCACAAAGCCAAGTCTGAATCACGACTTCTCCGTGAGTTGGGTCTGTAATCCCAGGCGAGGTAGAGCGCTGCGCTGGGTCCTCCTTCTCACTTGGAACATGGGGATAATTAACAGTATCCATTTGTGGGACTGTTGAGGGGATTCAGTGAGTGGAAAGAGTCTGGACTGGAGCCTTAAACACTGGAGGTACTGTGCAAGCATCGGCTAGTACTATTTTGGGGAGGCAGGGTAACAAGGTCAAGTATATTCACAGATACTTGGTAGCTCCTCCTTTCAGCAAGTCACCAGACCTCTCACTAGTCAAAGATATCCTGGTGGCTTAAGACATAAATTGGGGTACAAATTTACTAGCAAAAGCGCAGCTTTGGGGTTTCCTCCTGACAGCTTCTACCCTGGTTTGTAACACTGTGGACCTGAGGAGGCGCCAGCCAGGGAGGGGCTGTCGTCCTGGTCCTATACGCGACAGGGGGCAAGCTCACCACACAGACGTCGTGTTCTTTTCCAGTTGTATCCTCCATGGTTTAGAGGAATAGATCGCCTCCCCATTGACGCTCAGCCACTTCCCCACAGCAAAAAGCCTTTCTTGGAAGATGGGAACAATCAGTCCATCTTTAGTTGCTCCAATGTTAAGAAGGTAGTTGCCTCCCAGGCTCACGGTCTGCACCAGTTCCTGGAGAGAGCAGAACAATGGAATCCTAGCATCCGGTGGCAAGTCCAGCAGGACACTTAGAGCCCACAGGTATGAAGAGAAGAAAAAGAATCTAGGGCACATTCTCTCCTTTGGTGAATAGCCTTTACCCTTCTGAAAAGTCTATTTTTTGTCATCATGAAAGCAGGACGGGCTTATATGAGAAAATTGAAAATCCTGCTACAAAGTGGAGAAATATATTAATTCGAATTCCACAGACTGATCACCGGCCTACACTTCCCCCAGTGTGGCACGCAGTGGGATGGGCCAGGCGGCGGCTGCACAGAGTGTGATCAGGGAAGCTGAGAAGTAGGAGGAGAGACTATGGGGATCAGAGGAGAGAGGTTGTGAGTGGGTGCCAGGGAGACTTGGGGAACACGGAAGAGAATGCAGAATTTGGAACACTCTGTATAAATGTAGATGCTGTCCCTTTGGGAAAACATGCTGTAAAGGGATATATTCTTCAAGGCTTCTGGAGTGGTGTGGTGTGCCTGATGCGTACGTGCGTGTGTGTGTGTGCGTGCGTGTGTTTACTGTGACCTCGAATAGGTATGCTTCAAATGGACCCAGAAAAATTACATTCAGAAAATTTAAAAAAGAATGTATTGGAGTACCCCAAAGACACCACACCATCGACTTTTGATATTCCCTCTGGTCTTTTCCCTGTGTGATGGAAATGTATTTTATACAGTTGTGATAATTTGTAACTTACTTTTTCACTCAAACCCTATGCATTGACCTATATTGCATTCATAAAAATTTTAATGGTTAAGGAAAATCCCCAGATCTACTTAAATATCCCTTTATGGCTGCAAGAAATTAAAACAACCCACATATCCAACTGCAAAAAATCCTGGGAAGAGCATCTCTATATGTAAGACTTTCTTCTGTAATTATAATTATTTCCTTAGGACAGGTTTTTTTTTTTTTTTTAATTTAAGATTTATTTATTTGAGGGGGATGGGTAGTGGGGGAGAGGGAGAGAAAGAGAGAGAGAATCCCAAGTAGATTCTATGCTGAGCGCGGATCCTGATGTGGGGTTCAATCTCACAACTCCAAGATCACGATCTGAGCCGAAACCAAGAGTTGGATGTTTAACCAACTAAGCCACCCAAATGCCCCAGGACAGGTGTCTATGGTTTTGTTCAATGACCCCAGGGGGTTCTATTGACCTGCACTTCCATCCAGAGTGCTCCCACCACTCTTAGTTAGAAGGGTAATTTGAGACAGTGGTTAACAAGTAACTCACAGGGGCGCCTGGGTGGCTCAGTGGGTTAAGCCTCTGCCTTCAGCTCAGGTCATGATCTCAAGGTCCTGGGATCAAGCCCCGCATCAGGCTCTCTGCTCAGCAGAGAGCCTGCTTCTCCCTCTTTCTCTGCCTGCCTCTCTGCCTACTTGTGATCTCTGTCTGTCAAATAAATAAATAAAAAAACAAACCCCCCCCCCAAAAAAAACAAGTAACTCACAGGTGCTCTTACCGAAATGATTTCACATTCACTTGCAATGTCCCCCATCACCATGTTCCGACGAAAGCCCCAGGAGAGCTTGTCTATGGAGGTACACATTTCCCACTTGTGATCTGGCAAGCTCTCTGGCTTGAATTTATCTTGACAGTTGTAGTATCCTCCATGGTGACAGGAAGAGTTCTGACCCCACCGGTCATTTACCACTACCTGTTCCTAAAAGAAGACAGTACTGGGTCATCTGGGGTAAAACCACTTCATTTCCTTATGTAATGCAGGTTGGTAAGTTGTGTTTGGGAACATAAGGAATGGACTTGGTCTAGAACCGTTCTCAATTGAGGGCTATTGTGCTCAAGAGATTTTTGGCAAAGTCTAGAGACACTTTGGTTGCCACGGTGGGGGTCCTACTGCCATCTAGTGGTAGAGGCCAGGCATGCTGTTAAATGTCTTAGGACAAACAAGAAAGCCCCCTCACAGCAAAATATCCAGCCCCAAATGTCCATTGTGCTGAGGCTGAGAAACCCTGGTCAAGCCACATGTAATGTCAGAGCTGGAAGAGCCTCTTTGAAAGATCATCTGGTAAACTATTTCTTCTAGTAAAGGAGAAATGGGGAGGAGAAGACATGCCCAAGGTCACACCCCCGGGCAGTGTTTCAGGAAGTTGGGACTGTGAATCAAGTATGTGAACCTGACTGCTTTCCACTGCATGGCCCTGACTTTCTCCCAGGTAAAGAAAAGTCAGCAAATATTTTCTTACCTTCAAATCTTGGCTGAACTATGAGAAATCATAATGCAGAATATCTTTTTTTTTTTTTTTAAGATTTTTAAAAACTTGAGACAGAACACAAGCAGGGGGAACAGTAGGCAGAGGGAGCAGCGGACTCCCCGCTTGATCCCAGGATCCTGGGATTGTGACTCAAGCCTAAGGCAGACATGTAGCCAACTGAGCCACCAAGGTGTCCCCCATAATATCTTAAGGTTAATGATTAACATACTATGATTCTTATACTGGGGTATCCAAGGGGAATAAAACCGCTCTTGCCCTTAGAGATCCAGCAGACACTGGCTGCGTAGACAGGTATGTGGACAATACGACATCACATCAGAGTTATTTATCTAACTTAAATGGGGAACACTGATCCCGGTGTGACCTCACCGAATCTACCATGGATGTAAGAGAAATGACATTCCCTCTTAAGAGTTAAGCTGCATAACCAGCACAGATAGATAAGGGCATAAATAGTTGCATCTTATTTCCATCATTTAACTGTATAGGTTCTGTATATTAATTTTTTGGGATTTTTTCTCATTTATAATGTTTGCATGCTTAATATTTATTTTACTTTCTCTCTCTCGGACTTCTATGTACTGCTTCTATTCTATTACTTAAATTTAACAAGCTTTAAACCTCTGTTGTCGAAATCAAGAATTAAAGGAGAGAAAGAAAGCTTATACTAAGGAAGGCGGGGAAAAGAATTAAAGGAGAAACCTTTAACATCCATGAAATCCCCTGGTCCCTACCACCTCCATGTTGCTACTAGTATTTATTATTGTCGCTCTTATCACTGTTATTACTCTGGATCTTGGCTTCTTAGTCTTTCTTTTCTCATAACAGGTTCATAAGAGAGAAGCCGTACAATCACGTGCCTTGACGGGGCTATCATTGTAGAGCCAAGAAAGAAACTCCGTAGAGTTCCAGTAAGTGTCAGGACATTCCCACTCTCCATCAGACCAAATCAAGTCAGGCTGATATCTGAAAGACACGCGATTAGGACAAGGTCTGTTATCTGAATCTATTCACAGTAAAGTGTCATGGATCTATTTTGTAACAAATACTTTAAGATTGTCTCTCATTCTGAAAGTACCATATAATTACCATGGTCCAGACAATGTGGAAAAATAAAGAGACAAAACAACAACCATAGCTCTGTGAATGTCACTCACAGATCCACTGTTTAGTACACAGTATTTTGGAACATTTCCTCCTAATCTTTTTACAGTGTCTTCTGAAAAAAACAGGGTTGTAATCAGCACATAAGTAATTTGGTTCCCTTGCAGCAACTAATTCCAATGAAAAGAGTCCAGAACTCTTTTCTGTGCTCCAGAAATACAGACTTAAGATTTCTGCATTTAAGATGCATTAACAAGTCAGGAAATGACATAGGTTGGCGAGGATGCAGAGAAGGGGGAACCCTCCTACACTGTTGGTGGGAATGCAAGCTGGTGCAACCACTCTGGAAAACAGTATGGAGGTTCCTCAAAGAGTTAAAAATAGAGTGACCCTATGACCCAGCAATCACACTACTGGATCTTTAGCCTAAAGATACAAATGTAGGGATCCGAAGGGGCATGTGTACCCAAATGTTTATAGCAGCAATGTCCACAATAGCCAAAATATGGAAAATAAAGATGTGGCACACACACGTGCGCACAGGCGCACACACACACAGGACTATTACTCAGCTATCAAAAAGAATGAACTATTTCCATTTGCAAAGATGCGGATGGAACTAGAGTGTATTATGCTAAGTGAAATAAATCAGTCAGAGACAAATACCAGATGATTTCACTCATATGAGGAATTTAAGAAACAAAACACTAAGAACATAGGGGAAGGGAAGCAAAAATAAAATGAGATCAAAACAGAGAGAGGGGCAAACTGTAAGAGACTCTTAACTCTAGGGAACAAACTGAGGGGGGCTAGAGGGGAGATGGGTGGGGGGACGGGGTCACTGGGTGAGGGGCACGAAGGAGGGCACGTGATGTGATGAGCACTGGGTGTTCTATGCAACTGATGAATCACTAAACTACCGTGAACCTAATAATACATTACTTACTAAGTTCAATTTAAATTAAAAAAATTATCTGTCTTTCATAAAAAAAAAAAAAAGTTTTAAGAGTTTGAACTATTCCAGGAAATGCACTGTTTTGGACAACTGCCCAAAGCTTCCACCTCAAAGGATCTCTAGAGTCCCCCTGAGCCACACAGCCGCACTTTCCACATACTCCACTCTGACCTCTACGTGGCGTGTGTGAGTGTGTGCGTGTGCACGCACGTGCATTCAGACACAGCTATAAGGTAAGCATGATTATTCCCATTTAGAGAGCGAGAACTGGATGCTCAACAGGGCAATCTGTTTTAGGTGACAAAACTTCCAAGTAACAGGAGCTGGAACTCAAATGCACATCTGTCGATGCCTGGTCCTAGAGGCTGTCCTCTGTAATCAGGACGGCACGCAGATTCTAAGGAAAAGACTGCCTGTCTAAGAGGCGAGTATAATGCAGACGGTCTGTGTTTTACTGTGAATGAGAAACTGTGCGAGGCCCTCCATACTCAGCACCTCCCTAGTTTTCACAGCACCACTGCGGTGTATGTTATCCCCATTTCACAGATAAAGAAACTGTGATCTCGAAAGATTGGGGAGGGTATTCAAGGCCACACAGCCAGCAAGAAAAAGAAGTGGATTTCGGATCCAGTTCTGTCTGACTCCAAGCCTCTGCTGGTCTCTTAGGACCTACTGTTTCCTTAGGGAAGTCATCTGGATGTAAGGAACTTTGTTTGGTTTTGGTCTAAAATGAGAGTCCAGGCAGAGGTGGCTGCCCCTAGAGCTTTAAAGATCCACCGTCCTGGGTGAGCCTGGCCCCCAGATGCAAAAAGGGCAAACCAGAAATAAAACATGGCGAAGACTAGTGATGGGTCCCAATGTGAAAGTGATCATTTTAAGAAAAATAATGATAACAAGACCCTTATTCTGTACCAGGCAAGATGACAAGTATTTTTCACATGTCATTCTGAGCCCTGTATTGAAGGCATTTCCTTTAAGGCCAGTGAGTAACAAAAGCCAGGGTTGACATGCAATTCTGCCAGATCCCAAATCCAGTGCAAGGTCCTTGGGGGTCATGTTGCCTCTCTCCAAGGTCCTGACAAAGAAACCAGGATGCAAGGAGGGACTGAAGTCTTGACTTTAAAACTTAAAACCCCCCATCCTTGGTCTGTTTCAATCTATAAAAGCAGTATGACCACATTATGGGAGTTTTGAATAGTAGGAAGAAAAAACATTTTCTGTCTTAATGCAAACCACTATTTTCATTTTGACGTCTTATAGTTTTTTTTTCCCACATTCCTTCCTTTTCCCCTTCTCCCCTAACTTAATGGTATCCTATAGGAAGTTCTGAGTTCATTAATAAAAGTCATAAGGACAAAAACTTTTTTTTTTTTTTTTTACCTGTTAACAAGGTCATATAGTTCTGGCATTGTTTTTGCACGGACAAAATACTGTGTTTTGAAGCCATTTTTCTTATCAAGTAGGTAGAGTGGGTGGAACCATTCTAAAAGTGAGTGGTAGAGTCCATAACGTATATTCCTTAAATAGAGAAACAGAACAGCAAATGTCCATCAAACAAAGAAAAAAATAATGTTGTTTAAGAAAAATCAGTGGCAGCATTTTTACATCTCAGTGAAACTTACCAGTAAGGGCAGGCAGGGGCAAGTGGGACCGCAAACCATTTCCTTAAATTACCTCTTATCATTAACTTAAACAAAGTTACTGGGTTTTTGATCACACGCAGGACTACTTTTTATATTTAAGTACCTTAGCACCGAATGTCATTTTTTGGAAAAATTTTATTTATTTGAGAGAGAGAGAGCGGGAGAGAGCACAAGCAGTTGGGGAGGAAAAATGGGGGAGGCAGACTCCCCACTGAGCAGAGAGCCTCATTCGGGGCTCCATCCCAGGATCCTGAAATCATGATCTGAGCCAAAGGCAGACACTTAACCGACTGAGCCACCCAGGTGCCCCTCAAATGTCATTTAAACCATTTTTTATCTATGTCAGTTATCTCAGTAATGACACACGGTCCTTTTAAAAAACTGTTTTCTCTGTCAGTTGTAAGAATACATATTGTAGAGATACTAGGAAACTGAAAAAAGTATAAAGACTAAAACATCCCAAATCTTAATCACAACATTTTAGAAAATCACAACATTTTCTATGTAGCTGAAATTAATGAACGTGGGTTTACTGTTTCATTTATTTAAGATTTGCTAACAGTTCTTAACATTAAAATGTCAAGATTTCTCAACCAAAATGAAAAAGAGTCCAAGTGACCTCTTTTCGTACACAATGAAACTTGTTTTGAGTTATGAATGGTGAGTGTCACAGAAAGGCCTTACTGCAGTGGGAAGTAAAGATCACATTGCAACAGCACAGATAAGACAGAAAGAATCAGAGTTAGCTATTTCATCATATGACTCGGGGACTAAATAGATACAAAGAAGGTAAAAATTAAGGATGGTAAAGTCCAGTCTGATCGACATCTGACTTTTATAGCAGGACTGTTTTCTTTGCAGGACTTTGCGCACCGCACTGGGAAACTGAATACTGAGCAGGTCTCCAAAGACAGCAAACTCTTTCTTTATGGGCCAAGTAGCATTTTAGGATTTGCAGGCCTTGCGGTCTCTCTAGTCCAACTCTGAAACTGTAACTTGAAAGCACCCATAGTCACAACACATAAATGAGTGGGCATAACTGTGTTCCAATCAAATGTTACCTATATAAACAAATACCTGGCCTACTCCTTAAACAGCGGATCAAGTTTACCAAATCACAACAGAGCTGAGATGGGGTAAGGTACAAATACCTTTCCTCTCTATAGACAATCATACCCAGAACTGTAGGGGCCAAAACCAGAATTAACTGGGTTCAAATCCCGCCTCTGCCACTTCCAAGCTATTTGATCTTGGGAAGTTACTTCTTATTAAGTGGCATATATTAGGGAACATTACTTAGAATCATCTAAGCAGCTCCTTACCTCACTTTCTGGCTCCTTTACCTGCTGCCCTTGTCAGCTCCCTCTTGACCTACCATTCATCCAAACTTTCTAGCTGCAGGTTGACAGCTAAGGGGGACACAAAGATGACAGAACCAGTCCTTCGTCAGACCCTGGAAAAGGCCTCGAATTGGAAGGCCTTCCAGAAAGAATCCTTTGCAGAATGCAAACGAAGCACTGTGGGCTACGTTGGGTATCCCTCACCTAAACAGGACCATGAATTTCTCTGATGATGTCACCTTTGGTCACCTGTAACGTGCTGAGCATCAAACACTGCTAATTCAAAGGCCAGAGCCTTTTAGGTTTACTCACTACATGCAAACTTAGAAAACACACAAGAGCAAAGAGGAATGATAGGTGAAAAGAGATGACAGACTAACCGTCTGTAGATACTTACCTCTTCCGGAGGGCTTTTCCCAACTCACCAACCAAATCACGATGGGGACCCACATCCTTAGAGTTCCAGTTCCAAGACACAGGGCTTGGCCAGTTTGTGAAGCCTTCATGGTGTTTTGTCGTCAGAACTACATACCTGTGGACAGCAAAGAAAGCAGGTGGTGGGCCACAAGCATGAGCTTACCCAGCATGCCCCAGGCTTTTAAAAAAGGCTGGGAGAACTTGACCACAGGAAATGTACTTGCATGAGTGACTGTGCTGGTTATCCACGGGGAGATGTGCCTGCAGCATCTGCTCTAGGGATGGAAGCAAACTTAGGGAAGCCAGAATCCTTAGTCCCCAGCCAAGGAGGAGGCCCAGAAAGAAGGAAGGAGTAGATAAGAAAAAGAAGTGCCCCTTAGCTCTCTTGTTCTGGAAATAGCAGATGACAGAAAAGTAAAAGAAAAGGTCACATGAACTGCCTCTCATTTACAGAGGTGACCAGAGACCAAAAAGAGCTGGGGAGAAAAGTGCGGTGTTGAAATAACACTCAACATTTCATTTGCTTGTACAGCAGAAAAACTGATGACACCTGCACGTGATCATTTAATCACTGGCTGGTGTGGGGAGCTCCAAGACTTCAAGGGCCAGATTGTATTTCAGCCTTCGAGGGCTCCATTCCTCTCTTGTGGCATATTCTTTTTCTTTTCTAACCTTTTTAAAATGTAAAAATCGTTCTCATCTCATGGAATTTACAGGAACGGGCAGAGGACCTCTCTCTCTCTGGCCATGGTTTGCAGACCCTTGGTATGGTGAAAGGAACCTTTGGCTTGAAGTCATGAGATTTGTGTGTAGGACATTAGTTCCCTTCTTCCATCTGGGCTTGTCATCTGGGCCACAAAATAAGGGGTCTGGACAAAGTTCTCCAAGATTTCAATTTTTATTTGTAAACTAGGGATCTCTAAGGCTCCTATTAGTGACTACCACATGTGTTTATTTGAGCCTTATATTTCCATATATTTATCGGCAAACACTAAACGTCAGCTGTAAATTTTCTTCAGTACAAGGTCCAAGGGAAACAAAAACCCAGGAGGTGACCGAGGAGACAAGGTAAGGATGGAAGACTCCTCTAAGCCAGGAGCTGGAAAACCTCCTTGCCTCCATTCTTACCCTCCTCCAACCCCCTTCCTTCCTGGCGGCCAAGCTATTTCTTCTAGAAGCTGAGGGCAACCATTCTTTGACTTCATGCCTGGCAACATACTGCCCTCCAGGATTAGTCCTTCCGTATTGGGCCCAGCCTTCAACAGCCTCTCCCTTCCCCATTTCAGCACGCCACACTTTCACTTCTCTGAACCCTCCACACTCAAAGCTCTGACAGCTCTCAAAATAGCTCAAACATCTCTTGAGCACTCTCTGTATGCAAGGCACAAAGAAGGCACGTGAGTTGGAATCGGTCCGGTTGTCCAAATACACTGCGCACCAGAACTCTCTTTCCCTCCCTTTTCCTCTGGGAGATGTTAAAGCTGAAAGGAACTAACACAATCCCTTTCTACCATCATGGAAGGAGGCTGCAGGGAGGTGACAAAATGCCAGACCACTGGATGAAAATTCTGGAATCCTGATTGTCTTGATGACCTGGAAGGGACATTAGGTATCACCCAGCTCGATCGTCTCGATATACAGGCGTAGACACCGAGGGCTGTCCAGCCCACGGCCTTCCAGAAAACCTTTATTTTCTTCTAAACCTTAAGCAGACACGCCTCCTCCGCGTGACCCCGCGTGCCACATTCAGTTCTGCATCCTTCAGGAGGCAAATCACTGGACCCGGGGGATCAGGAAGTCAGACCGGCAGCTGAGCGACCCCGGGCGAGCCGGCGCGCCCCCCCCCGCCCCCGCTCTGTTCCCACCTGCCTAACGTCAGCCGGAGCCGGGAAGGGGGCTCCGCCGGGCTCCGCGGCTACACTCACTTGGCCCCGGACGCCTGGAAGAGGTCGGTCCAGGTTTCCGGATGGAAGAAGCGCGCCGTGAACTGCGGTCCGAAGTCCGCGTAGCTGAAGCCGGGCGGGTAGTTGTCGCTCATGAACTGCTCGTACTGCGGCAGCCCCTCGCCCTTCCAGTGCCACCAGAACCACTCGCTGCCCCAGGCCGGCACCGAGAACACGCCCCAGTGCACGAACACCCCGAACTTGGCCTTGTCGAACCAGTCCGGCAGCGGCCGGGAGTCCAGACTCTGCCAGTCCGGGGTGTAGCGGCGCGGACGCTGGACTCCGCGCACGGACGCCGCTCGGAGCAGCAGCACCAGCAGCACCAGCAGCGGCCGGGGACCCACAGGCCTCGACTTCATGTCGGAAGCCGGGTCGCTGCCTCCAAACCTACGCGGCCGCCTCTTAACGCGCAGGTACGCGGCGCGCGGTTCCGCCCACTCTCACTAATGATTGGCTCGGAAGGGAAAAGGGGCGTGTCAACCCAGGCTGCTTGGCGACTGTCCTCCCCTCTGGCTCGGCCGTTCCTGCAGCGCCTCCTGGCGCTCAAACGGAGAAAGACGCAAAGTGTCGTTGACCGCGCTCCGCGGGACGGACGAATGAATGCTGGGGGACATCACAGCAGGGTTCAATCGTGAGAGTATGGGAGCCCCAGTGAGTGCCGAGAGCTGAGAGTAGTCCATTTTGGCATTGGGAGCCATAGGGGACTTCTTGAACTGTAGTAAAGAAGAGCAAGCCGGGAGGCAGGAATACCAGATGGGAAGGCATCGTGATAGCCCTAGCAGAAATATGGGGTAGAGGTATAGGGAGAGGAAGTATTACCAGGGAAGGGGAAGGAGAAAGGTGGGCACTGAATGAGGAAGAGCCTCTGTGATCATTTTGTCTGTCTTATATTTCTTGAGCTTGCTTTGGGGATTCTGAGGCAATACAGAGAGCTTAATGTCTAATTGGGAAAATAAGACCCTTTGGCTGCCCCAAAGGAACGTTTTTAGAGTAAGCAGGGTGAGAAATTGAGAGCCGCAGGCCAAAGAAGTTCCCGTGTCAACCTTCTCTGGTAGGGAGGTCACCGGTTGCTCTACAATTTGTATGCTGTGTGCTCAAACAGGAGGTGAGGTCATCAGGTGGGGAAGGTCTAATGACCCCACGTGGCACAAAGTCAGTCCCCACCTATCTGTGAGAGAACTGCAGCTTATCAGAGTTTGAAGGGATTTTGGAGATTGTGGATGCTATCCTTTTCCCTACTCTTCCCATTTTACAGAGGAGGAAACTGAGGCCCAGAGAGGGGACTGAAGTCGCCCAAGATCACACTGCTCGTTTGAGCAGGGATGGGATGAGAATCCAGGTCTCCTGGTGGGGAATCTGTACCTCTGGACAAGCCGCTCCTCTCTCACACCCTGGGAGGGGCTGGGACCTGTGTTGACAGAACCAAGCACTTCCTCATTCCAGGAGCCCCAAGGAAACACAGTAGCTATCGTTGATTGAACAGTTGTTTTATCTCTAGTGTTTTCTCTGCAAGATTCTGTTGAAATAGTGCCCAGAACAGTAAGCACTGACACCTCAAAAAAACAAACCAAAACAAAACACATTTTGTTTGCACACATCTTCTCGTGATCAGAGTGAGTAGTGGTCTTGGTGTTAGAGAACTCATAATGGGGAAGATAAAATGGGACACTATGGCCTTCGTAGCTCCTTATCCTCATAACCAACACGTAAATCTGCAGGGACAGGCAAGAGACATGACAACAGAGTGGACAAAGCTGGAAGTTGGGAAACCTGCATTTCTAGCACTGGATATCATCTTGTTCGGTCTTCTTGGGCAAGTCTTGTCCACTGAATGGGCCTGTTCCATCATCCAAACAATGAGGGCAGCTCTCTCTCGCATCCAGGGCCCTCCTTCTCTGTTTGCTCTCCTCCTCCATAAACTAGTTCTTTACTTAGGGCAGAAATGAAGTGTGAATGTGAAAAGAGAGAGGTAGAAAGTGATGAAGTGCATTTAATTCAATGATTTTTAAACTCTAGTTTTATTCCTTAAACATTAAATATTTACTGGTTTATTCTAGGAACTTAAGCATTTTCTTTGCTAAAGGGAGAAAAGACCCCACCAACAAATAAAGAAAGGTATGTCCAAACTTTAAGGAGTCACAAATTTACCTTAAAAACTCATGCCATGTCTTTGCCTTACAAAAAGATAGGTATCTGGATTAAAATGAAATTTGATGTTCCAAAGCGCTTTTCAGGAGCAGTTTTGTTCCTCAGATGTTGACCAGCGCTCTTAAGACTCCGTGCTTTTGGGCACCTGGGTGGCTTGGTTGGTTAAGTGTCTGCACTGGGCTCAGGTCATGATCCCTGGGTCCTGGGATGGAGTCCTGGGATCCAGTCCTGTAAGGGGCTCCCTGCTCAGTGGGGAATCTGCTTCTCCCTCTGCCTCTCCCCACTCCCCCACCCACTTGTGCGCAGGCTCTCTCTCTCTCTCTCTTGCTCTCAAAGAAAAAAAAAAATCTTAAAAAAAAGACTTTATGCTGTTATCAAGAATAGCCAAATTATGGAAAGAGCCCAAGTGTCCCATTGACTGATGAATGGATAAAGATGTGTGTGTGGGGGGAATATATATATATATATATATATATATATATATATATACACACACACATATATGTATATACACACATATATATGTGTGTATATATATATGGTATGATTAGGGAACAAACCGGAAGAACATATGGGAAGGGAAAAAGTGGGATGGAAGCAAACCATAAGAGATTCTTAATGATAGAACAAACAGGGTTGATGGAGGGAAGGGGGTGGGGGAAGGGCTAAATGGGTGATGGGTATTAAGGATGGCACTCGTCACGTTGAACACTAGAATTAACTAGAATTTAAATAAAAATTTAGGGGAAAAAAAGGCTCTATGCTGGATTGTCCAGAGAACTGGGGACCAAGACTCGAACATGGAGGTCATCTCATGGGGGAAGACTAGCCAGTGACTGCCACTTAATACAGTCCATGATATGGGCTGTAATTGAGGGGTTGACTTTGTCCTTGAGGGGCTGTATTGAGTTGAATAATGTCCCCCCAGATTTCAGGTACACTCAGAACCAGTGAATGTTTCCTTATTTGGAAATAGTCTTTGTAGATGTAATTTGTTCAATTAGGATGAGGTCATACAGGATTAGAATGTGCCTGAATCCAAAGATTGACATCCTTGAAAGAAGACACCAAGAGATAAGGTGAGGAGAGGAGGGTCATATGAAGATGGAGGCAGAGATTGGAGTTATGTTGCTACAAGCCAAAGAACTTCAGGAGTTGCCAAAGTTTGGAAGAAGCAAGGAAAGATACTCCCTTAAACCTTTGCAGGGAACATGGCCCTGGTGATGCCTTGATTTTGGACTTCTAGCTTCCAGAAACTTCCATGAAAGAGTAAGTTTCTGTTGTTTAAAGCCACTTGGTGGAAAAAAAAAATTAAGATTTTTATTTTTAAGTACTCTCTCCACCCAACGTAGGGCTCGAACTCACAACCATGAGATAAAAAATAATAAATTCCACCAACTGAGGCAGCCAGGAACCCCAAGAAATTAATACAGGACATAAAATGAAGTATACTGAGAAATAACGTTGAGTTAAGGTTGCAGCAATCTGATGTTATAGAAATTGAGTATTATTCCTAATCAAGCAGAATTTGACTGAACTAGGCCAAGAGGTTAGTGGTAAAGAGGGGTAGGCTTTGGAAACTCCAGCTTTGGGTACATATCAGCAGTGTGATCTCAGGCGAGTAATTTTTGCCTCTTGAATGTTTCCTTATCAAAAAAATATGAAGGTACCAAGACCCTCTTGGTCAGGCAATTCTGAAGACTAAGTAAAATACTTCATTTGAAAGTACTTATCCCAGTGTGTGGCACATAGTAAAGATTCAATAAAAACCAGCTGGCATTTATGACCAGAGCACATAGTAGGTCTACCCTACCTAAAGTTGCCTCAATCAATCCCTATCACATGACCTTGATGATTTCCTTCATTGTACCACCAGTAATTATCTTCTTTAGTGGCTGTCTTCCCACCAAAACGTAGAATGTAAACCTCATTAGACAGGGGCAGAACCTGTCTAATTTATGGCGCACAACCAGGACTTAGCACAAAGGCGGGTATGTTTTTGTGAGATGGGTGCATGAGTGAATGGATAGTGGGCACCTTGTCTGGCAAACAGACAATGGAACTGAACTGAGGGGCAACCGGGAACGATTTGGGGGTTTATAAAATCTTAGTGAATGTCTTCCTTTTTCTTGGAGTTAGACTGAGCCATTGCCTGCTTCCAGTGGAAGGACTTCAGAGGGGCCACAAAATTCTCTGAAAATTCTGTGTCAGCCAGTCCCAGCCTCCCTTGTATTCCCCAGGAACCTAGGAGGTCACAGTGGCTGTGAGTGGAGGTTATCAGGGAGTCAAGTGGGGCCATTGCCCTAATAACAAGATTCCTTGAACTAGAGGCTTGTCAATTACCTATGAAAGAGGTAGGATCAACACCCTTGGTCCTCATTGTATCAAATGTTTTGGTCCTCAGTAGGAAAGGGTGACCAGAGAGTGGGGTCTTTTATAGCCTTAGAACCAAGGAGGTCCCAACAATCAAGCAAGAACAGGGTTGGCCAGCCATCCCATCTGACGTCTTGAGATCCCGGGAAAATAATCCATTAATCTTCTCAGATATCCTCTGAGTCCCTCATTGCTGAGCCTGAAGGCTCCACCTGGCTCCCATGGTCTCTGGAGGATGCAAGCACTAAGCCCTCTTGTTAGGGGAGGTTCTCCTAACCTGAACATGCACTGAGCCTCCTCAAGCCTCTTGCCCACTTTGCCACTCCTCACAGGGCTTATCCAACAGTCTGCATGTAAACAGGCACGGCCAGGCTACCTGCCAGGGTCAGTGCCATCAGTCATCAGCGAAAGGGGGTAAGTGTCCAAGCCTCTGGGGCCTGGCTCAAGTAAGACAATAGGGTCAAGGCTGCTCCTCCAGAGAGTGAAATGACTCTGACTCAGCTTGTTTAAAACTGTGAAAACTCATCAGCATTCAGAGCAGTTTAGTCCTCTGGAATCTGACCATGGGGTGATTTTCACATCAGCCTCTGTCTCAGTGACTGAGGACCTTGGGACTTCTTTGTTTCCTTCAAGTCCGAGTCTCCTCAGATGTTTCCTCCAGTGGGCCAGCCAGTGGTGGGCAGAGGAGCGGATCTCCCCACTCCTCAGGGCATAGATGATGGGGTTGATCATGGAGTTGACAAGGCAGAGCAAGGAGAAGAAGGCAAAGACCTTCTTGACCTGGTCGCTTAGGGTGGTGGTCAGGCTGTAGACCATGAGGGCCAGTACCGGGAGCCAGCATACGAAAAGCACGGCCAGCACCACCCCCAGGGTCTTGGCCAACCTCACATCAAGCCTCATTCGCACCATTCCTGGCATCTGCCTGTCCTGGTGTTCAGCCAAGCTGGCTACATGCTGATGGGCCTTCCAGAGGACATGTCCATATGTGTAGATGATGCCAGAGAAGAGGGAAGCAATGAACAGGAGCCAGCCCAGCAGATAGTCATTGGGGATCAGTGGGAATAGCTCAGAGCAGGGACTGGGACAGCAAGTCCATCCCATAAGGGGCAGGTAGGAGACCAATGCTGAGAGGACCCACATGATGCCCAGGGTTGCCAGTGCCCTCCCACGGGTGAGTAGGACTTTGTATGTAGGTGGATGGCACAGACAGAGGTAGCGGTCAATGGCAGTCAGTAGTAGACTGCCTACAGAGGCTGTGAAGTTCATAGTCACGCTGCCAATCTTCAGTAGGAAGACAGCCTTGGAATCCATGCCATGGAAGACATGGAATTCCACAAAGTTGCAAGCAAAGATCACACTGGCAAGGAAGTCAGCCACAGCCAAGCTGCTAATGAACAGGTATGAGGGCTTCCTGCGGAGCTGGTGGGAGGACAGGATAAGGCAGAGCACAGCCAGGTTCTCCAGGGCACTTAGCAGGGCAAGAGAGGTGCACAGCACGGCAACAGCTATCCTTTGGGAACCGTTCAGGACCATGTACTCCTTCATGGGGTCGAAATCCAAGCCATCCTTACAGCCATTGGCTGCCTCCATCACCCAGCGTCTCTCCATGAGGTAGGTCCCTTGGCTCCTGCTGGGCTTGTCAAGAAGCCTTTGCTGTAGTACAATGAGAAGAAGAAAGGAATCTTTTTCAATCAGGCAATAATGACTTCACACAGTCAATATAGCTCTAGACCAACCCTTTACCTGTGTTGAGGAATCACATGTTAAAATAGCAATTTATATTTTGTTCCTTTATATTTTGCCCTCTTTCCATTCTACTGGGTCACTAGATCTGTACCGGTTGCCTTAGGAGAGGTATGTGGGAATTCAAGATGCAGAAGTGGCCTGTGAGGTTTTCAGTCTTTTGTTTCCAAAAAGACCAATCCTGAGACTTCCCTTTAAAAGAGAAAACTTCAAGGGCCAATAATTAAGAAATCAAAACCAAGAAAAAATGGAATCCAGAATACTAAGATGGAGGGGATTTTTCCATTGGTTTTCTGTTCTGTTTTTTGTTTGTTTGTTTGTTTGTTTGTTTGTCTGCTTGTTTTGGTAAGTAAGATGCTGAGGTTTTAACAACAAAGACAAAACTTTGTCTTCACATCAGCAGCGTTGCCAGATAAAATATAATAAATCCAGATAAACCTGAATGTCAGATAATTAATCTTTTTTTTTTGTATAAGTATGTTTTAAATATTGAGAAACACGAAACCAGAGCACCCAAATATCATATGGGACATCATTAGATACTATTAGAAAGCAAACTTGAAATTTCTCTGGAGGAATATACCTTCTAGCCAGGGCACATGAGTTTCTCACATGAAGGGACCCATGGGATTTGAACTCCCAATGTAAAATAACAAAATACGTAAGGACATGTGAATAAGAGTTCGCAGAAATGTCAGTAGAATGAGAATTTCAAGGACTTCATGCCATTGTTGGGAATATGTTTAATATAATTAAACCATAAGGAATCAAAAACATGAGTACATAATGGAAGACTGCCTAGGCAGATTTGAAAAAGAATCAAGTAGAATATCTGGAATTCTGGAAGTGAAAAACAAAGTCTTTGAAATGAGAACCCTTAAAGGTAGGTGAGAGAACAGAACAGATTAGTTGGAAAGCATCGATCCCAAAGGTAGATCTGGACATTTCTGAAAACGCGGCACAAAGAGACAAAGAGATGGGGCAGATGAAAGAGAGGCTAAGGACTGAATGAAAAGCCCTAGAATATATCTAACTGGAGTTTCAGAAGGGAAGAATAGAAGTGGGGTGGGCATTGGGGAGGTCATAGAAGGGGCTGCGGAGAGTGGAGAATTGTCCAGAATTCTCCTTATCCTCCTCAGATTCAGAAATCATAGTGCACTACAAGCAGAATTTATTTATTTATTTATTTATTTATTTATTTATTTATTTATTTATTTATGACTTTCATTTATTTATTTGAGAGAGAGCGAGAGAGAAAGCATTAGAGAGTACAAGCAGGGAGAGGGAGAAGCAGGGGGGCTCGATCTCAGGACCCAGGGACCACGACCTGAGCTGAAAGCAGCCACTTAACTGGCTGAGCCATCCAGGTGCTCCTATTATTTTTTTTTTTTAAGTTTTTATTTACTTGAGAGAGAGAGATAACATAAGCTGGGGAGAAGGGCAGAGAGAGAAAGATGAAGAAGCAGGCTCCCTGCTAAGCAGGGAGCTTGTCCCAGGGCTTGATCCCATGACAAGATGGGATCAAGATTTTACTCAGATCATGACCTGAGTAAAAGGCAGATGCTAACCAACTGAGCCACCTAGGCACCCCTACAAGCAGGATTTAAAAAAACAAATTAATTCCATATTCACATATATCATAATAAAACTTCAGAACATGAAAGACGAAGAGAAAAAATTAAAAGCAATCAGAGAGAAAGGACACAATACTAGCATATGAATCATAATAAAACTTAAATGCAGAATTTCCAATAACAACAAAAGCCAGAAGAAGGGGGGGGGCGCTAAACTCTAACTCAAGCTAAAGAAATACAAGTCAAGTTGTCCATGAACAGACCTTTCCTTTTTTTTTTTTTTTTTAAGATTTTATTTATTTATTTGACAGAGAGAGATCACAAGTAGGCAGAGAGGCGGCAGAGAGAGAGGGAGAAGCAGGCTCCCCGCTGAGCAGAGAGCCTGATGCGGGGCTCCATCCCAGGACCTTGAGATCATGACCTGAGCTGAAGGCAGAGGCCTAACCCACTGAGCCACCCAGGCGCCCGAACAGACCTTTCCTGAAGGAACATCTAAAAGGTATGCCATCAGCAGAAAGAAATTCTTCACAGAGGGAAGAACAGAGAGGCAAGAAGGAATTGTGAACAGATATGTTTCTAAATGTATGAGCAAATAAAAACAAATGTCTGTATAAAGCAATAATAATAGGGGCGCCTGGGTGGCTCAGTGGGTTAAAGCCTCTGCCTTTGGCTCAGGTCATGATTTCAGGGTCCTGGGATCGAGCCCTGCATTGGAGGGTCTCTGCTCAGCAGGGAGCCTGCTTCCCCCCGCCCCTGCCCTGCCTACTTGTGATCTCTGTCAAATAAATAAATAAAATTTTAAGAAAAGCAATAATAATAATGCTAATTATTGATTTGGAGGGTATAAAAACAAAATGGAAGTAAAATTGTGAATCACAGTAATATAAGCCAAGAAAGAGATGGAGTTGAAGCTTTATTTAGACTATTTAGGCTTTTAAAAATCAAGCATTGAACTCCTGAGTATAAAATCAGCCACTCCTCACAACCCCAGTACAGCAGCTCTTTCTGCCAATGGGTCCTTTCCCTGTGCTTTAATAAACCACCATTTTCCACAAAAAAAAAAAAAAAAAAAAATCAAGCATCATCTCTTACCTGCTGGTTGACTTTGATAGTTTATTAACTGAGCTCCATGCTTTTAACCAGACCCATCTTTAATCTAATTTCGACACAGCAGCAGTAGTGATCCCTTTAAAATACTTCAGATCATGCTACTTCTCTGTCCGAAACCTTGCGCAGGGACCATTCCATTCAGTGTAAAAGCCAAACAAGGTGCTTACAGTGGCCTAGAAGGCTTTATGTGTTCTGGCCCCATTACCTCTCTGATCTCCCTCATGTCATGCTTTCCTTGGTCAACCAGCTTTAGCCACACTGGCTGCCTGATGGGTCCAACCCCCTGTCACAGGGCCTTTGCACTGGCTGTTCCCTCTGCCTGAGCCCTCTTTCTCTAGATATATGCTTGACTCAGGCTCTCACTTTTTTCAAGTCTTGGCTCAAGTTTTACCTTTTCAATGACAGCTTTCCTACCACTCTAATACAGTAACTCACCCTATCCTTCTGCTCTTCTGGTCTCCCTAACTCTGCTCTGTCCCCACCCCCCATATCACTTACCATCTTCTTTTTTTTTAATTTAAATTTTAATTTTCTTAAAGATTTTATTTATTCATTCGACAGAGATTACAAGTAGACAGAGAGGCAGGCAGAGAGAGAGGAGGAAGCAGGCTCCCCAAGGAGCAGAGAGCCCAGCGCGGGGCTCAATCCCAGGACCCTGGGATCATGACCTGAACCGAAGGCAGAGGCTTTAACCCACTGAGCCACCCAGGCGCCCCCACTTACCATCTTCTAACATATACCTTACCCTACATCACTTACCTATTTATTTTGTTTTATTGTTCATTGTCTGTTTGTTCCACTAGAATTTAAGTTCTGTGAGGTCAAGGAACTATTTTGTCCACTGATACAAGTTCTTTGAGTAGTATCTGATATGTAATAGGTACTCAATAAATACTTGTAGACTTGAGGTGAAATGAAATTGAATAGCGACTGATTCTAGCATTCTTTTCTCAGAAGCTGATCAATTAAGCAGACAACATACTAATTAATAGAATGTATAAGATTTGAATATGCAACTAACAACCTGGATTAAATAGTCCTATATGGAACTCAACACCCAATAACTGGAGAATACACATTGTTTTCAAGTAAAGGTGGACATTTATCAAAACTGACTGAGTCTTGGGTGAAAAGTAGATTTCAACAAATTTAAAATAATCTGTAACATATAAATCATGTTCTCTAACCACAGTGCAATTTGTTAAAAAATCAAGAACTTAGGGGCACCTGGGTGGCTCAGTGGGTTAAACCTCTGCCTTCGGCTCAAGTCATGGTCTCAGGGTCCTGGGATCGAGCCCCGCATCGGGCTCTCTGCTCAGCAGGGAGTCTGCTTCCCCCTCTCCCTCTGCCTGCCTCTCTGCCTACTTGTGATCTCTCTCTCTCTGTCAAAAAACAAATTTTTTTTTAAAAATCAAGAACTTGAACATATAACTAACAAACTTCATAAGTACGAAGCATTAAAAATAGACTCCTGAGTAATTCTTGGGTCAAAGAACCCGAAAGGGTATTAGGAAATACTTAGAATTGTAACATTAAAACCTGTGGGCTCTATCTGCGCAGCACCAAAAAGGAAATGTATAGCCTTTTGTGCTCATATTAGAGAAGAAAAAAGACAAATGTCCTAAACATCACAAAATTAGAAAAAGAACAACAGTGTAAATACGAAGAAGGCAGAAGACAGAAATAATAAGACCAGAAATTAATGACATAGGAAAGCAAAGAAGACTAGAAAAAACTGGAAAGACTGAAGCCAGTTTTTTGAAAAGATAATAAAACAGGCAAACCTTACGTTAGATTTCTGAAGAAAAAAAGAGAACCCATACAGAAGAATAAAGACATGAACGAGAAATGGTCGATGATCCTTTGAAAAGATATCTACCCTCAGTAGCAACCACAGAAATGCAAGTTTCCCTCCTACCAGACTGGTAAAAAATTCAACTTTTATATGACAGAGTGTTGGAGAAGGCATGGACCAATGAGGACTTCCAGCGCCTCCAGGGGAGGGGGGCAAGTTGGCACAACCATTTTGGAGAGCAGCTCAGCGAAATCTGGTCTGGTCCATGTGACCAGGCCCTTGGATGCATCAGCTCCTGGGAATGTGCTCCTGAGGGACCCTGACACGTGTGACCGATGACACAGGGCTACAAGAGTATACATTTCCTTCTCTTGTTCCTTATTTATTTATTTAATAATGTGGCAACTAGGAAATTGTAAATGACAGGTATCTCCCGACGTGTCTTCAGGGGAACAGTGCTAGCCCAAGCCAAGGTGGTGTACTGCTCCTGGAGAGCCAGGGCAGGGCGCCCTGCTCAGCAGCCATTGCCGGAAGCCCCTCCCTGCTCTCCTACTCCCCGATCCTCTGCCATTTCCCAGATCGTTCTACTTTCTTGCACCTTTGCCCACACATTCCCGCCAAGGTTCCTTTCTCTGGCTGACCCTCCTTCTTTACCCTACTTCTGAACTCATCTTTCAACCCGTGAAGATTTCCCTGATGCCCCGTCACACAGGAAGCTCCCAGCCCTACTCTGCTTAGTTTGTAACCAGTTCGACACTAGCCTAGGCTTTTCTCCAACCAGATAAATAACGGAACTAACCAACGTTTGTATGGAATTTAAATTCTACAGAATAATTTCCACAGCTACAATCTAATATAATCCATATAACTTTATAATATAAAACTTATGGGTATTGGAGTGCCTGGCTGGTTCAGTCAGTATAGCCTGTGACTCGATCTCAGGGTTGGAAGTTCGAGCCCCACATGGGGCATGGAGCTAAAAAATAAAGGGTGCCTGCGTGGTTCATTTGGTTAAGCAGCAGATTCTTGACTTCAGCTCAGGTCATGATCTTAGGGTCCTAGGGTCTAGCTCCAGGTCGGGCTTCTTGCTCAGCACAGTCTGCTTGAGATTCTCTTGCTCCCTCTCTCTCTGCCTCTCCCCACCCTGAGTCATGTTCTCTCTCTCTAAATAAATAAAATAAAAATTATTGGTATTGTTATTTCACAGATAAAGCAGGCTCAGAGACATTAAACCACTTGGCAGAGGCCCCACAGCTTGTCAAGGTCAGAGACTGGGTCTTCATTATTTCTGGGTCTTCATTGCGTTGCACATACCTACACACAGTAGGTGCTCAAAAACTCCCAATGGAATGAACCCATTTGGATGGAAAGGGGCTGCCTCAAATGGAGTGGACCCCAAGTAGGAGTGTAAGGGGGAGAGCAGCACACCCTGTAGCTTGAAATTCCAGCCTGGTTGCCTTGTTCAAGATAACAAATGCCTCGGGTTTCCCATTTCTCATCTGTAAGATGAGTTTTGTGAGGGTTTAAGTAAATTAATATGATACCTGTGCTTATTATTATTATTCTGAGCATCTTCAAATGAGGATAATTCACCTACTGTGTGTGGTTGTTAAGAATAATATGCCTGACACATCCAAAGAGCTCGGTAAATGGCAGCCCCTATTATAATCCAGTATTTTAAAATTAAAAAAAAAAAAAAAAGATTGTAGGGGCGCCTGGGTGGCTCAGTGGGTTAAAGCCTCTGCCTTTGGCTTGGGTCATGATCCCAAGGTCCTGGGATGGAGCCCTGCGTCGGGCTCTCTGCTCAGCAGAGAGCCTGCTTCCTCCTCTCTCTCTGCCTGCTTCTCTGCCTACTTGTGATCTCTGTCTGTCAAATAAATAAATACAATCTTAAAAAGAGATTGTATTTATTTATTTGATAGAGAGATCGAGAGAATGAGCACACAAGCAGGGGGAACAGCAGAGGGAGGAGGAGAAGCAGGCTTCCCACTGAGCAGGGAGCCCAATGTTGGGCTTGATCCCAGGTCCCTGGGATCATAACCCAAGCTGAAGGCAATCACTTAACTGACTGAGCCACCCAGGTGCCCCTGTTTTTAAAAATTTTAAGAGAGCAGAACAATTTTTACAATTGATGGAACCCCTGTTCCTAAGTCAGGTAAAACCTGTGTTCATATCACCTTTGCCCTCTCTTCAAGGCAGTCTGAAGAGGATATCAAAAACCTCTCATCTAATTCAGCTCCATCATTTCAGCATTGAGAAAACAGTCCAGGGGTAGGGATGTAACGTCCTGAGGTCACCCAACCAAAGGGCAGCGGAGCTGGAACTAGATTTCATATCCCAAATCACAAGACGAGACCCTTGGTCTGGAGGCGCAGAGATGACCCTGCACACAGAAGCTGGGAAGGGGCATTTGCCTGGGACAGAGAGCAGGTGCTCAGTGTTGCCAGAGCCACACCAGAGCTGAGACAGGAAATGGTGCCAACTTCGTTCTCGGCACTGGTCACGAATGAGTGACAGTGCAAGGCTTTCTCAGTTCCCATGTCCCCACCCTGCCACTTCGGGAAGCTTCCTCCCTGCACCCTGCTGCCCCAGCCAGACTCCCCCTGTCCCCGTATGTCCCTTAGGAAACAGTCCCCTCTCATCAGAGAATGGCTTACCCCACGCAGAGTCCAGCCTAGAAGAGCGAGGCTGGTGTGGTGGCTGTCGGCATGCTGAGCTTCACCCAGGTCTGGTCTGGCCACTGACCTGTGGTATCGTCCAAATTAGATAAGGACAGGAAACGCAGGCCTTTGGATGGAGGGCCTAACGAGACAACATCCGACTGCAACAGGATGCGGAGAGCAACAGGAAACCCATCTCCCTGCCTGGTTCCCCTGTGGGCAGATAGAAATACCTTCTGGAATCAGAGTGTCTGACTCCTAGACGGGCCTCCTTCCCAGGGCAAGGACGGGCATCTGAGTGCCCAGCACGGAGGGAGACTCTGCAGGGCCATTAGTTCCACCCTCTGCTGTGGCTGGTCATGTGACCCTGGGCAAGTCCCTTCAACTTTCTGAGCCCCTTTTCTCACATATGAAATGACAAGGACAATACCTGTCCCAGTCTCTTTGGAAAAAGCTATTGGCGGATGGCCTCTACTGAGGCTTTTTCACTGGGTCCACTGTGATGGGGTCTCCATTCTTTCCAGGTGTGTGTAAGACTTTACACCTGTGCATTTGTCAGGGGAAAGTGTTCATGTTTTTTACCCCGTGTCTGGGGAGTTCCAAATAGTAAGAAGGACGGAGGCAGACAAAACCATTTCGTGACTGACTCTGTACAAAAGGACGATTGAAAGAGAACCGCCCCACCAGCCAAGTGCCACCCCACCTTAGAACAAGCCAAAGCCTCAGAACTACCTGACACGCTTTGGTCAGACAGCATGTTGGTGCTCGGCGGCTAAGCTGCAGCCGGCAGCCTGCAGCCTGACTTAGGCTGAGTGGGTGGGAAGGGAACCTTCAGGTGAGGGGGTGGTGGTGGGAAGGTGCAGGGAGTTGCCCCTGGGGGGTTTTTCCACCTGAACTGAAAGTACGAAGTGAAAATGAATGCCATAGTAACAACTGCCCCCTCGTTCCTAGTGTTTAAAGCCAGGGACAACCTGTGAGGTGAAAAGAACGCGACTCTCTGGCTGTGGTCACTACACCTACAGTGAAAAGCTGAGATTAGAGGCTAAGAGCCAGCATTTTTCTCTCTGACTGGGAGTGGGTGGCGGGGTGGGTGGGTGCGGTCCTGGGATCCAGTTCCTATTCTGCTACTGAGCGTCTTTGGATAGCTCCCTTCTCCTTTTTGGGTCTTTCTTTTTTCATCTGTCTATCTTCCTTCCTTCCTTCCTTCCTTCCTTTCTTTCTTTCTTCCTTTCTTCTTTCTTTCTTTCATTCTTTTTTAAAAAAAGACTTTATTTATTTATTTGGCGCAGAGAGAGAGATCACAAGCAAGGGGAGAGACAGGCAGAGGGAGAGGGAGAGGGAGGTTCCCTGCTGAACAGGGAGCTCGACGTGGGGCTCTATCCTAGGACCCTGGGATCATGACCTGAGCTGAAAGCAGATGCTTAACTGACTGAACCACCCAGGCGCCCCTCTTTTCTCATCTTGAAAGCAGGTGGGTAGACTGGGTGATTTTTTAGGTCTCCTCCCGGATATTTACCACGTCGAATCCCAGTGTCGCAGGTTTTGCAACCAGACCTCTCTGGATTGGAATCCAGCTCTCTACTTTACGGGCTGTGTGACATTGGGCAAGTTACTTCACCTTTTTGGGCCTCTGTCTCGTTCATTTTTAAATGAGAGAAATACCACCCTTATCTCATTGTTGTGCAGATTAAGTAACAGAAGTTTACTAAACTTGTGGCACTGTGCCTGGCTCCTAGCACATGTCCAGTAAAAGGCAGGAAGTGACTTCATTGAGTTAGTTTATAGGATTTTACAGGATTCTGTGCTTGAGTCTTGTCTGACCCACACCTGAGAGCTGAGGCAGATAGAAATCTCTCCGCTTATTCTCAGCTGACACTTTGCTACCATGAAGGCCAAGCCATCATGTTTTTTAAAAACTTATTTGGAGGGGCCTGGATGGCTCAGATGGAACAGCGTGTTACTCTTGATCTTGGGGTAGTGAGTTTGAACCCCACATCAGGTGTAGAAATTACTTAAATAAATACAACTTTTTAAAAAATAAATAAAAATAAAAATCTGTTTGACGTGCATGACCTTCTGGACCTGCTTCCCAGCACGCTGGGCTCTTGGTGCTGTGTCCAGCTGTAGGAAGGGAATCATGGGGGCTTCCTTCCACATTTCTTCTCCCAGTTCCCCTTGGTGTTTGACAGCACTTGGCTGCAAGTTGTAAGGAAGTTCTATGGAGTTTCGGGCTGTAGGCTATTGTCCTTTGCCCAAATCTTATCTATTTTTTTCAGGTCCTAAAGCAAGGCCACCTTCTCCAGGAAGCCTTCTCTGATTTCTCCCAGCCCCTCCAGGTGGATGAAACTCATTGAGTCCTGCTGCATGGATCACTGTCTACCTTCTATTCTTTGTAACAATAATATATGTCTCATCTTGCTTCCTGGACTGTGAGCTTCTAGTTTTGAGAGTAGAATCTGGGCGAGGGAGTGATAACATCTTTGTATTCTAATTCCCCTCACGCTGAAACAAAATTCTTTTAATGACAGGTTCCAAGCTAAGCTAAGCAGCCTTTATGGAGGTGGAAGTCAGCCCTGAGGAGACAATTAGATGGCCCTTGAGCCTCTACTTCCTGTTCCCAAACCATGACAGACATTGCCCATTGGTCCCGGTCCCTCATCCTGAGCCTCACCATGAGCTCCTCACCATAGCACTGCTTGCCCAGGGAACCAGACTTCTGGAAAGACTGGGAACCACAAAGAGCAGGTCAAAAGCAGAAAGTGAACTGAAAGATTGGCAACTGTCCTTGCTCTTGACCTTGTACTCTTGACCTTGTAAACAGACAAGTACGTAGTCATCCGAGGGGAGGGGGAACAGCATGTGGGTGAAGGAAACTAAAATCTCTTCTGCGGTATAAGTCCAGGAGAAGTTTATTGATGCAAGGCAAAATATGGAAATTGTCCTAGGGGAGAGAAGCAAAGGGCTGCCCAGACCGACTGATTGATTGATTGATTGATTGATGTCTAAGATTTGTATTTATTTGACAGAAAGAGAGAGAGAGCAAGCGAGCATAAGCAGGGGGAGCAGCAGAGGGAATGGGAGAGGCACACTCTTCACTGAGCAGGGAGCCTGATGCGGGGCTCGATCCCAGGACCCTGAGATCGTGACCTGAGCTGAAGGCAGATGCTTAACAACTGAGCCACACAGGCATCCCCAAGGCTGATTTCTTCAGTACTTTCTCTTTGGATTTCCAGCACTGGAGCACAGGGCCTGGCATAAAGCAAGCACTTAGATATTTTAAAATAAACTTACTGAATAAATGAATAAATGAATGAATGAATGAACAAATGTAAACTGAGGAAAAAAGCAGTCTTCTTCAGAGAGACTCTGTGCTTTCTTTTCCCTCAGCTGCCAGGAAGCTTAGAACTAAATCTGATGTAAACCTGCAGTCCTGGGTCATTCAAGGTTGGTTCCTGATTCATTTCTTCTTCTTCTTTTTAAAGTGGTTTCTAATGTTTTGCTTTTATTTCCACTGCCCTAATTCATAATATAGGCCACCTCCAGTCCTTTAAGGAAAGAATTTGTAATTTATAAAAATTGGCACAAAGGATCATCATTAAGGCTGTTCTTAAATGTCTAGTGGTTGGCAGAGAAACTCATGCCCCATGTGTGGAGTTCTAAGATTCCATCCCAAGTCGGCTGTCCACCCACCATTCGCCATTCTCATCCAGGAGTCTGTGGGGCCACCACCTGCTGTCTCGACACTCATTCTCCCTGGACCTTCCTTCCTCATCTATCTTTATCAGCTCCAGCCTCTCTCCTGGGAGGAATTAAGCTAAATGGTGCCTGAGGCCTCTTTCCACTGCAGCAAAGGTTAAGAGCCAAGGTTTTGGAATGAAACATTGCTGGCTTCACTTCCCAGCCCTGTGTGTGGGCTGTGTGACCTGGGGGCCAGTTCTCAAACTCTCTGAGCCTCAGTTTCTTCATCTGTGGCTGGGGACATGATTACTACCTGCATTGTTGATGTGCAGATTACATAATGATTTAAAACAATTAAGCAATCTCGTGGGGGTGTCTGAGTGAGCTGTAGTGTGTTTGTGTGTGACATGGTAGAAAGAAAAGGGTCCCAGGTTAGGAATCAGATGCTCAGGGTTGGAGCCTGGCTCTGACACCAGTTGGTTCTAGGGTGTAGTCACTTTCTCTCCCTCTCCCCTGCACTGCTGTCTGAAAAGAGGATCAGGGGATAACGATGATGAGGCTTGGCACTGGACTAGCACTCTCCACACATTATCTCATTTAAACCTCCAAACAACCTTGCAAAGCTGGTATAATTATTTTCCATATTTTACAGATGAGGAAATTGGGGCCCAGAGATTTAAGAAACTTGCTGGGGGCCCCAGGAACCCACAGTCTTGTTCATTCCTCTGAAGCCCCAGGGTCCATCCTGTTGTTTTACATTCTTTAATTCTTGGTAATCAACTAACTGATCTGAAATCTCCCCACAGGACAGTTTTGTTGAGTCTTTTCAAATATCTTCTTCCTTTTTTTCAGCTACCTTATACTCCAGCAACTTCCCTTTTAAGGAATGAACTACTAATGCCCATATCGTATTTGACAGTTTACATAATTTTCCCCACTGTTATCTGAGGCAGGTAGCATTTCTTGAGCAAACAAGTTCAGAGAAGGCATGTCACCCCAAATTCGCAGCAAGTGACAGGCAGAACTAGGACTTGAGCCCTTGTGCTTTGACAAAGTCAGGTTGGTAATGGGACAGGATCTTAATGCAGGACCCTGCTGAGGGTGATGGTTCTAACAACAGACACAGGCCATCTTTAGTCTTTAGCCCCAGAGGCAAATCGCATCATTTCTCTTTCTGGCTTTTTCCTCTATTGACCAGTTTCATTCAGTAATGCCTCCCTGGCTACATTAGTGGGTATAAATTTTAGTCTTATCCCCACCAACCTGGTGGAGTCCTCATCTCCTCACCCCCAAGGATTTGCCAGTCAGGCTCTTGGGCTTTGGAGTTAGACAGACCTGACTTCCAGTCCTGGCACCACCAAACGTTAGCTCTATGCCCTCAGATGAAGTCACTACTGTATTCACTTGTTTTCCTCAGTTTCCTCATCTGTAAAATGGGAGTAAACAAACAGTGCACTCTTCATCGGTGGTGGTGAGGCACAAGAATTAATTGAGATAGCATCATGCTTAATACAGTGCCTGGCACACAGTGAGTCCTCAATTGATGGCGGACTATATATATATATAAGTATATATATATATAAAATATACAGTAGCCAGGCAATATATATAAAATACACATGCATATCACAGCTTTCTTCTGACTTCCCCAAGTTCTTTGCTAACTGGCACTGAATGAGAATGACAACGGCTTCTCTGTCATGCCTTTGGGCTGGTGAAGGGGGTCAAGGAGAAAGGCTGAGAGTCAGGAAGGGGGTTGGGACAGTGTTAGGAGAACAGAGGGAGAAGATCACGTTTCCATTCAGGATGTTTGGTGTTGAGTGAATGGGAGTGAAAGGGAGAGTGCCTCGGAGTCTGACGGATTATTAACCAGGCTGGGAAAAGGAAGTCGGCACCTCTCAGCCTGCAGTCCAGACAAGAGCCCTGGGCCAAGGAGACAGGTTCCAGTGTGGGATGGAACTGAAGGCTGGGTAACCTCAGACCAAACGGTCCTCTTCTCTGTATGCCCATCTGCA